CTTCGTGGCAAGATGGAAGAGCCTATTTCGTTCCCTACATTCACTTCAGTTGGTCACGATGACGAACATTCTTCAATCGAGCTAGCAGGACAATTCCAATTTTCTCAACTACTCACTGATGTTCTGCTGAGAATGGAGTCAACTGAGGCCGAGCAACAAGAGTTTATTGCTGTTTGTCGAAAGCAGTACGATGGACGTGTAACCGATTTGAGAACAATCGAAGAATTCGAGCGCACATATTCGCCAGAGCGAGCTATCCACTGGTTCACAAAGCAAACATTCCTTTATCTTCTTTTAAACAGAGCTCTGCGAATGCACAACATAGATCTGCTTATTCTCTTTCAATTCTTCATCAAAGATATCTATCAGCACTTGCACAAGTTACAAAAAGAACAATCATCGACACCTATTCGTGTGTACCGTGGTCAGTTGATGTCGAACGAAGAAACCGGTCGACTACTGAGCATCGAAGGTCAACTTATTTCCATGAATTCTTTCCTTTCCACGAGTCGAAATCGAGATTTCACGTTACTTTACTTGGGCAATTCTCCTTTCCCCAACGATGGCTTGCAACGTGTACTGTTCGAAATATTTCTTGATCCTCGTTTTTCCGATAGAAAGCCATTTGCGGATATCACCACTATAAGCAATTTTTCCGAAGAGGAAGAAATCCTTCTGATGCTCGGAAGCATATTTCGTCTTGAAGATATGCGAATGGAGAATGGAATTTGGATCATTCAACTGCAGCAGTGTGATGACATTAATCCTGACAGCCGAACACTCTTAGACTATAGGAGTGAAGAGCACCACGAAGAAAGTCCACTCTATAGTCTTGCTACACTCCTATCTAATTTCGGGAAGTTAGACATTGCCGAACGATGTTTTCTTCGATATTTGGATCAATTGCCTGATAACCATCCGGATGTGTTCTGGTGTTACTTGTCACTGGGTACTGTACTAGAAGGTGTTGCCAGCGATAACGAGAGCCTACGCATGTACAAGAAAGCTTTGGCAGTCGTTGAGCAAATCTACTCATCTGATCAATACTTCTCGAGTATTGTTTATGTCTCTATGGGAAAAGTTTATACTAATATCCGTGACTATGAGCAAGCTTTGACGTATCTGACAAAAGCATTAAGTGTATTCGAACAGTTGGGAGAGGACACAAGTGGCCCCCACAATGAAGCCCTAGTCCGGTGTCTAAAATTTATAGGAGATGTTTTATCTAAGGGTGGGAAAACGTATGAAGAAGCGCTTCACACCTACCAGAGAGTGTTGGCTATAAGAGAGAAGAATCATCCTTTGAACCATCCCTGGACTGCTAGTGCCCATATGGATGTCGGCGGAGTTTATGGACGTCTTGGTCAATTCGATCTTGCTTTGAAACACCTTGACCAATGTTTGCAAATGCAGCAGAAATCTCTTCCGCCCAATCATCCAGAAATCGGTCTGACATATTCTCACATGGCGCTCGTTTATGTCAGCAAACACGATCTCTCACAAGCCTTGAAGATATGCGAGAAGGCTCTAGACATTTACAGGAAAGGCTCTCTTCTCCCTGACCATCCAAATGTAGTGCACACGCTTATGGCTGTCGATTGGATAAGACAGGTGCAGAATTTATCTCTCTAATTGTCTCCGGTTAATTAAGAGAGAGTAATGAAACGTCAGAAATTGAAAAAGTAATTGATATTCGTTCTTCTTGATTTTGTGTAATGTTAACATCTTACCCACATATTTACTTTTTAAATGCTTGTATATTATCTTTTTCTTATTCAAAGCTAGGGTTATAATGTTGCGCTAGTGTTTTTACTTACTTTTGCTTTTTTATGCGTTGGCATTACCGTAATTTAACTTAAACTGCAAACTTTGAATGTCATTTTTATGTTTTATCCTCAATAAATCATTGTTTAAGTTTTATTATGTCTAGGTGTCCACAAGTGTCAGTATACTGATTACTGATCAGATAATATACAAGCATTTAAGAAGTAAATATGTGGGTAAGACGTTTATAGCTTTTGGACTTGTCAGAATGTTAAAGATGTGAATGGGGGTGTTTATAATGTCACTAGCAGTGCAGTAGTATAATTTTACATCACGTTACCTCTCTGAAAATTTGGTCAGAGATTCGTTTAGAAATCTACCGCTAGCAGAAGGCCATCCTAAAAACTTTGATCCACTTGGACACAGTAGAAGACCATGCCCTACTTTTCTGGAAGAGGATTTAGTTTTTCTCCACAGATTCATTTGACCTAAAATTTGCTTGACGTGGATCAAAAGCTCGCATATTGTAGAATGATCAACAGTTGATGATAAGCTTGAAGCATTCACTTTCGAATTTGATTTTCCAAAATACCTTCTGACTTAACCATACTTCAAAAAAACCATTTAGTTCAACTCTGTAACAATAGAAAAGGCGAAAGGACTTCTTCACTTTCCAGTGGAAAGTGAAGAGTAAAGCTTGGAGTATCAACCAGACTTGTGATAAAGCTACCTCAAGTATACCAGTTTTTCTTCTTTGCTACATGTACATTCAACATTATTTACGATAAATCACAGTAAAATTACAAAACAGAAAGAGCAGCATCAGAAAAAGACTTATATCAGAGGTTTGCATTTCAGGATACCTTGTCAGCATTCAATTTGGCACTTAAGTGCACCATGTTTTACCAGCTTACTCTTCGGAACATGATGCATGTAACAACTTCAGTTATTTCAGAACAGTATATGGGCTTTGCTCAAGGACTTTGAAATCGGACGAGAAATTTGCGGAAAACGGTAAATGGCTTTTGTTGAACTGGTGACGAAAAATGGAATGTAATTTGTTTTTCAAAGACACCAGAAGGATTTTCTGAAAATGGGAAGTGGTTGGAAGTGAAAAGGAAAGCATTTCCGATCATTTCCACTCAAAATCATATTGGGCGATTTTCTAGCAGAAACCGTTTCCCGTCCTTTTTCAAGTCTTAAAATCAGTTCATTAGGAAGAAAACAATAAACTACGAGAAAATGTCCACCGACATTTTTCTGAACAATCTTGTCTATCGACGTTAAAATAACCATATCCCCATGAAGACTTCATGAAATATTAACTTTTTATATATTAAACCGTTTGTCTTCCGAAGACGCATCTTTTCTTATAAGCCCGACTGTTTCTTTTTTATCATTCCTGCTGAGATCAGCTGTGAGAAGCTTTTTCTTTATTTTATTAATGTGCAATCTGCTGCTATAGACAAATGTAGCAGTGCTTTCGTCAAGACGATGCCGGATTTTGTAAAGAGCAATGTGAAAGTGAGTTCGAAAAGCAGTTTCACACAAAAACTATTTGCATGACATAGTGTGCATTTCCTTCAGGTTTTCAGGTACTTATCTATTATGTCGGCACTTCAAGCTGAAGGTATTTTCAACTTTTTAACGAGTACCTTCAGTAATAATAATAACAAAAATCATCCCTTCCTTTTTAATCCAAGTTTTCGAGACGATTCTAACTCTTGAATTATTTTTCCATACAGCAAACTTTCTTTTCACCTGAAAGTCGTGCTGAAGAACTGAAGTAGATCCACACTATGTCATGCAAGAAACTTTTGTGTGAAACTACTGTTCGAACTCACTCTCATGCTGCTCTCACCGCTCCTCCTCACCCCACACACCACCAGAAATAGCGAATTTTGTATAAAGATAAACTCGCGGAAGAGTCATGTTACGGTAAATTTTAATTCTGAAAATGTGGATTTAATTTTGTACGTTGGCGTTTTATGTCGTTCATGTTATATCGTCAGCACTAACAAAATTTGTTGTAATTTTCTTTACTTATTTTTGTTATCAGATTAGGTTTTTCTGCGAGGAAAGTCCTGAGCCATAACTAGCATAATAAAAGACAGCAGATGCACTCTCTGTGAACGAATGTGACACTTTGTTGATAGAATATTATATGCTTTAGTCAGAGTGAGCAAAAAAGTCGATGCATCGTTTTTCCATTTTCTATCACTCTTCTACGATATTCAAGTAATCCTCCAAACAAGTATCCACTGCGGTATGATGGTACTCGCTGTTGTACCTTGATCATCACATCGACCGCGGAAATCATAAGCACCAAAGCCATTCCTACTACCTCGGTAAATCAACCTCCACCAGTGGTTGATCTGTGCATAGCACTCGTTCACTTTCCACTGATGTTTATCATTCAACAGTAACGTTTGATCGATTCATTAACATGCTTCTTCGATGCTCTCTTTATTGACGCAATATTGTGTGTTTTTGTTGTTTCCACTTCGATGTCGAGCATGTTCGACCAGTCAATAGTTTGACTTCTTAGTTTGATCAGACCTGTTGTGTTTTTTATATCTGTTTTCAACTGCTCAAGACTAGTCGTGAGTTTGTGTAAGTCAGGCTCGAAGTAATCATCATTTTCTTTCCGATGACCAATTGATAGTTGTTTGTTTCATGCTGAATAATCAGACGTGAATGGTTTCACTTGACTTACTGTCATCGGGATAGCCTGTCTTCATAAATTCAGTTTCATAAATCACATATTTATGAAACTTTTTACAAGTTTCATAAAATTTAGGAAACTTGGATGTTGAATTTTTTAACCCAGAAGTTACATAAAAATGAAAAATTTCTTCATCGTCTACACATGTGGAGCAAATTTACCACGTATTTTAACCCGTCTGAAATAACCTCTTTCATTTATAGACGCAGTTCCACCACTATACATTCAATCTAGATTTTCTTACTGTAATTGCCTGCCATCTGTGGGTCGAAGACACAACTTCTCGGTCCCATAGTTTTCAGCATTCTTTCCTATATGCGTTGCAATGGCTCACAGCGATCTTTTTTTCTGTAATCATAAAATATCGACAACCGAATAAGTGGAAAGCAAAGCAGTGAAGAAGACAATGTTTTTGTTATTGAAAAGAAGATACAAGTACAATCTATGTATACTTGTATCATACGTTACACATTTCCAAGTGACATACTTCAAGCGACAGGCAGGTAGCAACATGACTTATACTAGTAGGTTGAAAGACGATGATATTGCAGAAGAATTAAACAGAGAAGTGGATGAAAGGAGTGATAGTGGCTTAAAATTATCAAGTGACAGTGATGGGAATGACTCTGATGGGAATGGTGACGATAAATCTGATGAGGAAGACAATCAAAATGGGGGTATAGGTGTTCAACCAACTACTACTACTGCTGTACCTACACAAGATAATGCTACTTTGACAAATCAAATTAATTTCACGGCTCCAAACAATTTTATTTGTGATAGTGGTCTGGTTCATAACCTGTCTGTTGGAGCATCAGAACTAGATTATTTTGAAGATGTCATTAGCAAAGATTTTTTCATTAGGACTGCAGAGACAATAAATTTGCAAGTGGATCTATGTTGTTAGTGCCCTACTCCTCAAAAGGCTGATAAAAGTAAACAGAGACCTAGTGGTACAGCATTGAGAGTTCTCCGGACCTGTCTTAGTGGATTGCTGCTATTCGATACCAAAAAAATTCATTCAAATAAGTAGGAAGTGTAATTAGACTTTGTGACATATTTTAAGCTTCACAAACATTTTTCATTAGTTTATATAGATGAAGAAACAAAAAATTTTCAGAAATAAATATTATTGTATTATTAATGAAGAGAGAAAGAAGTAATAAGCGATATTAATGGTAATGAAACAATTACTGTCTACAGTTTTACAACGTAAAGAGCGAAGTGTATGTATAGAAGGCCATCATGACGAAAGCAACCTCGTGAATCTAGATCATCGAAGCAATAATAATCATTATTATTTGATTTAATAATTGCAATAAAATGAGCACCTGTGTTTCTGATACCAGCAGAAAGACAGTACCTGAAACGGAAAGCGAATGAATTTTGTTTTTCAGAAAAGTTGAGGCAACTTACTCATATTCACCAATATTTAAAGAGTCTGGCAAATTTGTCATTAATGATGGACTGTTTTCAACATTGATAATAACGAATGGTACCGTATAAATGAATCGTGTTATATCAACTATTCGAGGTGCTTGACATATATAGTGTGTTCTAAAATTAAAAATTGTTTCTAAAAGTTAATAGAAGAACAGCTCTCTTACTCTTTACGAGTGACGTTGATTTCCACATCGATAACCGGAGACCATTCGTCAGTCATATAGTTAGCTGGATAATTAATTGGTTAAATTGTACCGAGATTCACACCTCACGGCGGTTCAAAAATAGTAGCAAAATCCGGTATGAAGTTTAAAAACTTTTTCTCGGTGTTTAAGTACCTATCAGAGGTGGGCGATGGACGAGGTAGGAACTGTACGAGGCGAGCCCCGCGGGGGACATTTTTTTCTTTTTAACGAAAGGCGAAATGGAGACGCTGAGCGGAATTCTTTCTAGTTCACTTGAGAAATATGTTTGTTTAGCAGTTTCCTCAAGTTGGAGATAAAACTCTAACTGTTGTATATTGTAAAGGTTATTTCTAACTTTGTTTATCTTTTCTTCTATCTTCCTGTTACGTGCCCTGTACATATATAATAGGTGTTGTTACACCACATAGGTGTGTGTTACACCAGAAAGTTGATCTAGGCTATCTCTGAACCCCGGAAACTTATGGAGCTGTCCTTTGGTTTATAAGAGTCTGTCTGCATGAGAAGAGAAATAAGATCAATGTAACCTATAGCAGTTGAGTACATGAAGGCGGCTATCTTTCGTATCGCAGCCAATATCATCACTAGTGCTAGAATATCTTATTTCGATTGTTTTTGACCTTTAGAAGGTTGAAAAAGTCCAGTACTAAAGTTTAACATTCAAAAATAGTGAAGTTAAAGTGAAAGTAAAAAGAGTTCTCTAGAGATCCCCCGAAGAATCATGATCACCTGGTATTGGAACCTTGCCAAATCCTTACGTTTATTCAGTTTTTAAATCTTCATCTAACCACGTTGAACCAAGTTTCTATATCTTTTGTGAGCTGAGCTGTTTTTATTTTAAAAACCGTTGAATTTTTTAAATTTTAAATTAAATTCTAAAATTGAAATTCTTAGTTGGAGACTTGATTTTTTTCCAAATGTTCACCTTTCGACGCTGAACCCAAATATGTTATTAAAAATGTTCCATGTCTTAACAGTGATTTTTTAAAACCCTTTTTAAGAAGTACAAGTAGCCCAAAAACCATGGTTTTCTAGAAGTCCTACTTTCGCATTTCAGAGAAAACTTTCTAGAGAAGAAAGGAAAGAGCACGTTGAGAAACTCTTATAA